CTAACCTTAAATACTTTAGATATGTAACACCTGAACTGTTCACCTGTTCCCTTGTCATATCCTCATCATGATCAAATCTCCCTCAGATGCAGCTATTGGGTATGGCCTTCACTTGGCTTAAGTGTTCTTCCTTATGCTTCATTGTTTCTAGTGATGAAACAATACCTGCTTTTCTAAAAGGATGGCACTACTAAACTTGAACTTGGGAAGTTTCAAAGAATCCTCTCATTATCTGGAAATCTTGTCTTCTGTTGTTATGTGCACTTATACAAGCTGAATACAAGTGAGGAATTTACATAAGCCAGAGAGGTGCGAAGGAAAGAACGGGGTTAGCGAGCATTGTTACCAGATTCCACTCTGACTGGATATTCTCTGTGCTCACACCGGCCTCCTTGTAACCGCTTTGGGTGTTTAGCATTAAGTGATGACTGCTTCGAGGTATGGCCTCACATTACACATAGAATATTACAACTTTGGAAATGCAGTGAGTATTCAATCAACAGATTTATTTCCTTATCAATCATTGCTTAAAAATACCTAAACTTTTCTCAAATACATAGATGCCACATTTAAATAAGTTACCTCATATGTAAAGATTCATCTATTTTAAAAGGTTCTCTCCTTTTACATATAAATTATTTAATAATGAACTACTCTGATAAAATTATTGTCATAGCTGGGGATGGTGGTACATGCCTTTAATCTCAGCACTTGGGAGGCAGAGGCAGGCTGATCTCTGTGAGTTCAAGGCCAGCCTGGTCTGCATAGTGAGGTCCGGGCCAGCTGCACCTGGGGCTACAGGGAGACCCTGTCTCAAAAAGACCAAAAAAAAAAAAAAATTTTTTTTAAAAAAATTGGGCAAAAACTTTTTTTATTTAATGGATTTTTAAATCTATTGAATCTTGGTTCTTTTACATCTGTTTTTTTAAGTTATGTCAAATTAAAATACTATTTTGAGAAACATAGAGCATACAGAGAAAAGCAGTATGGGAATTGAAATCCAAGTCCATTTTTGTCTTTGGAATGTAGGATGTCGAGCACGCCTCTGGGTCTACTTGGTCCTTTATATTTTCATATGGAAAGTAACAGGTTTAAATATGGTAACTGTTAGGAAACCTGTTGCTGGTCAGTTTTCAGTTCCTCTCTCTGTTTACAGTTAAAGTTAAGCTTTAGCCTCCTTTCCCTTCCCTCCCTCCCCTCCCTTCCCTCCTTTCCCTCTCCCTCTCCCTTCCTTTCTTCCTTCCTTCCTTCCTTTCTTCTAAAAGAGCATTCCCTCCCTTCCCTCCCTTCTTTTTTCCTTCTTTAACTTCCTATTCTTTTTTTCCTCTTAGGATGTTCCAACAAAATTGGTTGCAAAAGCTGTTCCCTTGCCAATGACTGTTCGTGGACACTGGTTTTTGAGCCCAAGAACTGAATATACGGTAGCAGTACAGACCGCCTCAAAGCAGGTCGATGGCGATTACGTTGTGTCTGAATGGAGTGAGATTATAGAGTTCTGTACAGCAGGTAAGGGAACTGGGTACAAATACAGGAGAAGCAATCTTAACTGTTCCTGGGGAGGTAGTTTCTTTGTGTAATTGTACGTTAAATAAGTATTGCTTTGGTGGTTTGGTATTGTCAGTGTCATTGTGTAACAGATGCATAGCACTGTACTGATTGGAGGGAGCTAAGGGTCTCAGCAGGAAAACTTGATGATAGAGTCAAATTACCTTTTTGCAAAGTGAAACCTTTGCAAATAAAAATTGATACAGTGTGAAAATAACATCCTTGGAACTTGTTCTACAAGAGAACTTTCATATTTTTCTTTAACTTCATTCATTTTCACAAATACTGACAGAAGGAACCAGGAAAATAGCACCTTCTTATACTTAGCAGGGCAGGGCTCAGTGATTGTCTAGCTGAAACATGATTCCATTTTCACTCTGTGCTGGAAGGACTTTTAAATTTACCTATAGACTGCTGTCCTTTGTGAATAGCTTCACTTCTTTAAAAACAACCTAAATAGTCCCACTCTGGGGAAATCGGATGTGGGGCCCTTGTCCTGTGACGGAGAATCCTAACCCTCTACTCGAATGTTCCAGCATTGCTGTTCACTGACCCCCCCTTGTCTGTCTACATTTACTGAGCATGTCCTTGAACACTGTTGTCATCGTCCTTCCTTTTGTAGATTAGTATCGACTGTGTTTAAAAATTGGTAGAGAACACTGGAGAGAGCTCAGTGGTCAGGTGTTTGCCTTGCAAGCATGAGGGCCTGAGTTAGATCCCCAGGGCCATGCTGAACCAGCTGGGCATGGTGGTGCACTCTTGTCATCCAAGCTCTCAGAGACCAAAGACAGGCAGATCCCTGGGGCTCGGTGGCCAGGCAGCCTAGCTTCTTGGAGCTCTAAGCCAGTGAGAGACTCTCTCCCAAAACAAGGTGGATAGCACCTGAGGATGGGCACTTGAGGTTGACCTCTGGCTTCCACACAACATTCACATACATGTACATGTACCCACACATACACAAAATAGTTTAGGGAGACTGTTAAACATGAAAAAGCTTCTAGGGAAAAAAGAGTTTGCTTCATCTATTTGCAGGTTGCTTAGGAACTCTCCCAAGCTGTGGCATCCTTCGGAGACGCCCCGCCCACCAAGCCTTTCCTCTGTACCCTCACACTTGCATTCTTCTAGATGCAGCATGTGACCAACTGCTGCTTATCCCAACGTCTTCTGTTGTTTCTTAACCTGAAACTCACTGTAAAACGAGGGGCATGTTGAGGGCCAAGAGTCTATGTAATTTAGCTTCATCTTCGTTCCTTTTTGTTTATTCTACAAAGAAGTCGCTAAGAATTGTAACATCCTTGGTTGCTAAAGATTTCAGTATTCGCAAGCAAGGTAAAAATGCCACACGGGTACTGCTTTTCTTTATATTTCTGTGTCATATCATGGATTATAAGATTCACATTTAACGTATCATTAAGAAAACGCAATGCCAAGTAAAAGATGACAATGTTTTCTTACTGCATTTATTGTTACACAGTTTCAGAGATGTTAAACATAAATAAATGTGTTTTAGGATAGATTAAGTGTAATTATCAGAGTTCAGTCATCAGTAATGAAATAGCTAAAGACATCTATATTATACTAACAGTGCACAGGTTTCCACATAACTACACCAAACAGTGCCCTGGTATTTGTCCACCCAAATGAGCTTTAATTTATCTGCGAGAACCCTACTTTATTATTAGGGAAAGGTTTGAAATATTATGACTTCTTCAGCTTAAAGAAGACCTTTGGAATTTCCAGTTCAAAAATATCTATGATAGATACATGCACACATGCATGCCTTGCGGGAGTGTGTTTTATTTCTGTGTCTGCAGGAAAACCTTGTCTTCAGTGTTTAGAATGGCCTTCCTGGTGCTCTTTTATTTTCCTGTGTTTCACAACTTTGTGAGGAGTTATGCAGGGAGTGACAAGTGGACTGCAGACATCCCAGTGTTCTTCACCTCTCTGCCTTTTCATAGTTACTGTCGTTCAAAGCTGTGGTTTAAGTTTAGCAAATAACTTGGGGACTATTTTATCTAAGTTTTATTTATAACCTTGACTGAATTTTGAGAAATCTGCTTTGTGTAAATTGAATTTTAATACTGGGACCTAGGCACTTGCAAGGTATTGGAAGTAGAATAGAATCCCATAGGCTAATCTAGTTTATAACAGATAAAACTCAATACCATAAAAATGTCATTACTGTCTGTATTCATCTGCCCTTAGATGTCAGTTCTTCAAATGAAAGAACCATGTGTTTTCTTTAACCCTCCCCAGTTCTGTGTGCTGCTCACACATCACATGCTTTGATCTAAGTCAGTTTTGTCGGCCATTTTAACTCGGTTCAGCCACTAGCTTTGTCTCTTCGGAAAATAGGACTAATCTTTAAAAACTTTTATTATTATTTGTTTTATGTGCACGTGTGTATTGCCTGCATGTAGGTAGGTGTGCCCGTGTCGTGCTGTGCTCATGGAGGTCAGAAGAGAGAGTCAGTTCCCTGGAACTGGAGTTACAGACAGTTGTTAGCTGCCATGTGGGTGCTGGGAACTGAACCTGGGTCTTCTGCAAGAGCAGTCAGTGCTCTTAACTGCTGAGCACCTCTCCAGCCCAAATATCACTAATCTTTAACTTTACTTTGTAATTTAATTTTTTTGGAAACTCTGTCTCACTATGTCTTGGCTACCCTGGAGACCCTCTATAGACTAGTCTGGCCTCGAACTCACAGAGATCCACCTGCCTCTATGTCCTGGGATTAATGGTATGTGCCACCATGCCCAGGTGTACTAATCTTTAGATACCAAAATTTTTCTTTGCTTTTTGATACAAGAGTTTGACGACAATTCTTAAACAATGTTTTTAAACAAAAGTTGGTCAAAAGTGTCTAATTACTTTGAGAGTTGTATCTGAGCTTCAAGTCTTGTACCGGGAGACCAACTAAAAGCCAGAGACCTAGTCTTGAAATTGCCAGCTATGTGGACAGTGGAAAGAATGGCTAAGCATTAACAAGTCTCAATTTCTGCATCAGTAAAATGGCCATATTTATCTCGTCAACCTCAGATTTAGAGGCATTAGATTGAGCAGGTATTATAATTTCTGCCTTCCTGCTTGGCTATCACTATCAATGAGCTGCTTCTATCAATTTATCAGCTGATGGTTCTGATGAATGCTGTTGGTTATAAAGAGTTATTGAACGTGCAGTTTGTTCAGGATCTTTAATTTGAAAGAGAAAAAAAGTACAAGAATATTCTAGAAATAACAAACCGTTCCAAAAATATCTTCATAAAAAAATACACTGTACAAACACAATGACTGTTTCTCTATAAAATGTCACTTCCTGTTTATTAAGTTGAATTCCTTAGAGATGAATTTTAATAATCTCTGTAAGTTTGTGATGGGTACTTTTAGTGCTGTAGTTTTAATAATGAACTTTTTTAAAAATTTCAGATTACTCAAAAGTTCATCTAACACAGCTTTTGGAGAAGGCTGAAGTGATTTCAGGACGTATGCTCAAGTTTTCTGTTTTTTATCGTAACCAGCACAAAGAGTATTTTGACTCCATTAGGTAAGAGTGCGCGGTCATTGATCTGACTGAATTTGAGTCATTTCCTAGGCCCTTAACTCACTTTCAGTCAAATTGTTGTTCAGTATTCCTCTTTAAAAAGCTAATTATATTGACTGTTATTTCCCAGAAAAATTAAATGGAAAAAAAAGTTAGAGCACGTTTTTGCATTTCTAAATGAAATGATAGATTAATGAATGTTTCATGTTCATAGTCATATAATTCCAGTAATGCAGACATGCTCTGCTCTGTGCTGATCACCAGTTTTCTCTGCTTGTATGGATTGTTTGCGGACATTAAAAGTGAGAGGATAAGATGATGACTTCTGTAGAATATTCCAGTACACCAGGATGGTTTGCAGACTTGTGCCTGTGTGAAAATCTCATAGTGTATTGCACTGATTATTTCTGAGGGCTGTGTCCTCTGGTTGGTTTCCAGTCTATTGATTTGACTAGTTATGACAGCCTGTGTTTATCGTTAAGTCACTTGTCAAGAAGTTAAAGGGACTCTGTCTCACAGTTACTTTAATACTGACAGCATTTTCATAGAAGAAAGTTTCTAGAGGATAAATAAGCGATGCATTTTTAAAGAGAGACAAAGGCTTTTGAAATGACAAATGGTATAGCGGTTGTAAGACTTGTACATAGCAGTCCTGATAATCTGCTATTTTCAAAAGACTTAAACTGGGTGTGGTAGCTCACACTTAAAATCTTGGCATTTGGAGGCTGAGACAGGAGGATCACCATAAGCGCCAGGCCAGTCTGGGCTATGTAGTGAGTCCACACGAAGCTAGGTTACAGCATGAGATGGTGTCTCAAAACTTTTAATTCATTAAAAGCCTTACTCCCTTTAGAGTCTATGGGATTTTTGAGTTGTCAGGCCTATATATGAGAAAAAAGTATGGAAATTTTATGTCTTTCATCTCTCCTTTCATGCTTCTTTAGTTTTTCTTAAATCAAGATTATGGTGCCAACTTTAGATCAGCTCCAAGCTTTGGAAACTGAAAAGGAATCATAGAGAAAAATGTATGCTTAGCATCTGTGTTCTAGAAGCATGCAGTAGGTTACTTCCCATTGCTGGTTCTGACTCTGGTATAAGAGGATACAGTCCTTCATGGGGGAAGACATGGTGGCAGGGAGCTCTATGGGGAGTGGGCATCAAGCAGCCTGCTCACATCTCTGAACAGAGAGACTGGAACCTCAAGTGTTGGATTATCCCTCAAGGCCCGCCACCAGTGACCCACTTCCTCCCGCTAGGTCCTACCTCCTGAGAGTTCTCTGACCTCTTCAGTCAGTGTCACCAGCTGGGGACCGAGTGTTCAAACACATAAGCCTGTGGGGACATTTTATATCTGAACAGTAACAAAATACTTTGTTGTAGCCTATATTTTGTGTTTTAATGATAGAAAGCATTTCTGCCTTTTGCTTGAATATCTTCAAAATACAGATTGCAGTCTGCCATCCTCTTAGCTAGTATTTACTCCAGTCTTTGTAATGCCTAGGGGCACCATCATCCAGTTTAGAGCATAGATTGGATAGGAAACTACTGTGCTTGCCTGCTGTTGGGAAAGGCTGATAAACTCAACAAGAAAAATGTTTTTAGACATAAAATCTGAAAACACACAAAAATCCCACCATTGCTGTTTCCTCTGTAAGAAATCCACCCACAGAAAACACACAAAAATCCCACCATTGCTGTTTCCTCTGTAAGAAATCCACCCACAGAAAACACACAAAAATCCCACCATTGCTGTTTCCTCTGTAAGAAATCCACCCACAGAAAACACACAAAAATCCCACCATTGCCGTTGCCTCTTTACAGCTTTGCTGCTTGGTTTGGGCTCTGTGCTTGTTGCCAGTGACTACTTTATGTGACCACTGGAGGACAGTATTTCTCTATGATTTTCTATATCTTTCCTATGGAGCAGGCTTTCCACTGTAAAATTTGTTTAATTTGCTTTCAGAAATGTTTCCAAAAAGACAAAGTTAAAGAACACTGGAAAATGGATAAAGTCATTTTACACATTACATGATTCAATTCCAAGCTACCAGCATGAAAGATACATTTACTAACAAGGAAATTTACTTTTGTTTGAATTTCAAAAATAACAGCAGTAAAACCCCAGTATATCTTAATACAATCACAAAGGCACAGGTAGAATTCTCCAGCTTTTAAAAAATATCTTTTTAAAATATTTTATTTATTGTTTTTATTTTATGTGTATGAGTGTATTGCCTGCATGTATGTGAGTGCACCCATGTCATGCAATGCTGCGCAAGTCAGAAGAGGGCTGCAGATTCCCCCAGAACTGGACTTAAGGACGGTTCATAGTCGCCATGTGGGTTCTGGGAATTGAACCTGGGTCCTCTGCAAGAGCAGTCAGTGCTCTTAATCACCGAGCCATCTCTCCAGCCCCTAAAAACATCTTTAAAAGAGCAAAACACTTTTTTTTAGTTGGAGATGCAGCTGAGTGGTAGAGTGCATGCTTCACATGAACTTAGGGTCTAGGGTCAATCCCCCAAGACCACAAAAACAGAAAACCACTCCAGTCTGTGATACAGTGAACTTTGGTAAGGACGTTTACTTCAGTGGGTCTTGATTTGCTTTTTAATTACTAAACTCTAATCAGGATACATTTCTTTGATTATAATCCATTTAAAATGTCATCTTCAGAATGCTTGATTGGCTCTAAAGTATCTCTCAATTACCTGAGATCTTTCCAGATCACTACAAACTATGGAAAAGTTGGGAACTGGAGATGGCTCAGTGGTTAAGAGCACTGGCTGTTCTTGCAGATGCCTGGGTTCAATTCTCAGCACCCACATGGAGGCTAACAACAGTCTGAACTCCAATTCTGAGGGATCTGACACCCTCTTCTGTCCTCCACAGGCACTGCATGACAGGGGTGCACTCACATGCACGCAGGCATAACACTCATACACATAATTTTTTAAAAAATTTTTAAGCCGGGCATGGTGGCGTACGCCTTTAATCCCAGCACTCAGGAGGCAGAGGCAGGCAGATCTCTGTGAGTTCGAGGCCAGCCTGGTCTACATAGTGAGTTCCAGGACAGCTGGGGCTACAGGGAGGCCCTGTCTCAAAAAGACCAAAAAAAAAAAAAAATGCTTTTTTAAATTTAAGAAAACTATGGGGGCTGGAGAGATGGCTCAGCAGTTAAGAACACTGTTCTTGCAGAAGACTGGGGTTAGAATCCCAACACCCACATGGCAGCTAACAACTATCTGTAACTCCAGTCCCAGGGGATCCGACAGCCTCTTCTGACCTCCCCGGGCATTGCACGACACGGGTGCACTGACCTACATGCAGGCAATACACACATACACATAAAAAATAAATAAATGATAAAAAAATTTAAAGTTTTAAATTTAAGAAAACTATGGAAAAGTCTTGCATAAGTTCTGACTCAATCCATAAGAACTCATTTTGATCTCTTCCTCTAGAAAAGACTTCTAAAGTGAGCATGCCCTTACCTAAAATGAGAAGAGCCCCTGTTCCCTAACCCTTGTTCATGTTCACTAGTTAGCCTGGTTGTTTTGAATTGACATTCCATTTCCGAGTCCCCTGAGCTTGATAGAGCTGTGTAGGAATGCTTATGCTGCATGCAGACTGAGCAAGACCGAGCACCCATAGCTGCTGCTCGAGCACTGACAGTAGGACACGCTCTGGTCTTGGGTTCTGTTTGTCTCCTCCTTTTCCTGCTTTTATTATTTCATAGAGCTGCTCATGTAGGTCTGTAAACATCTGGGGTTTGTCCATGAGAGTAAGACGAAGTTGGAAACTTCAAAAAGAGGCAAAGGAAACAGATAGGCGCCTCCCCTAGTCCTCCTACCACGTAAAACCCTGAACGTTTTATATAAAATAGAAGACTGAAGTGGAAAGTAGAATTTAGCTAAGTCAGAAACCTTGAGACTCAAGGAAAAAACAAGCCAAGTTCCTTCTGTTTTCTTTTACTTCTTCTTTGCTGGAATGTATGCTAGAGGGACTGGTAACCTAGAAATGCCAGTGGCAGAGATCTACAGAAAGCCCACTCCTTTCACCCAGCGAATCAGGAAAGAACCTGCTTCAAGTGCAGAAACCTTGGACAATAACCATCCTGATCTCCCAAAACTATGGGGATGGCAGCCTTATGCCTACCAGCAAATGTCAGGGATGCCCTGTCACACCTGTCACAAGGTATCCTTGCCAACCCCACGTCTAGCTGATCTGCCTAGACTGCACCACTGCCCTGAGTTCACCAACACCTTGGTATTAGTGAGGGCCACACGGAGAGCAGTAATGGCAGACCCACCTGTTCCAGCTAGAGTGCGTTAACTGAGGCTAGTGGGAACTTAGACTCCACCTTCTTATCATCATGGCTTTCTTTCTTGTGTCACTGGAGACTTAATAGAGAATCTAGATGTAATTAAAAGAGGCCTGCTGAAGTGTTAAAGTTACACCCAGTGTCTCAGAATACCGAAGATTTCTAGAATACAGTTAAATTAATTCATCATACCAAGAATCAGTAAACTCACAACCTGGATAAGGAAAGATCATCAAAGATCAACACCAAGATAACAAATGGTGGAATTAAGCAGGCACTGTAGAGCAGAAACTGAAGAAATGACCCATAAGAAAAATAAGTTGTGCCTGAGAACATCTGCAGAGAAGCCAGTGACACCACTGTTGATGAAGGTGTTAGCAAAACCGTAGTAGAGTGCTTGCTTCACATGAACTAGGGTCTAGGGTCAGTCCCCCTAAGACTTAGGCACACTAAAGCAAATGCCAAGATGGGAAGGCCTTTGCTCGTCTTAGGAATAGGAGGGAATGGAGGGTCACCCAGCAGCAGTGTAGAAAGCCCAGCCTTGCCAGAACCACAATGCCCTAAAGCATGAGGAAAGTCAGGGGATCAAACCTGGGTTGTCAAGCTTGGTGGCAAGCGCCCTTGCCCACGGAGCCATCTTGCTGGCCTCTCCTTCAGTTTTGAAGGATCATTTTGATGGGTATAATATTCTTGGCTTATATTTGAGTATTTCAAACATTCTGTTCCACTCTCCTCTGACCCAAAGGCTTCTGATGAGAATTTTCTTGTTGTCTAATGGGTAGTCTCTGGTATATGACTAGATGCTCATCTCTTGCTGTTTTTAGGGCTGTCTTGTAACTGACATGTTGACTATAATGTGCCTTGTAAAGTCTATTGTGACTGAATCTACGTGGTATCTTGTGAGCTTGTCTAAATACCCGTTTTTCTCTGAGCATCTGAGACATTTTTTGTCTTTTCTGTTATCTTCACCTCCAGAAACTCCCACAGTGCATCGGGGCACAGTCTCTCACAAGTCTCTCTTGCAGTCTTTCTTCTTCCTATTTTCCTTTGTTGACTGGGTTAATTCAGAAGACCTCTTAGGCTCAGGAATTCTGTTTATCCTGGGGTACTTTGGCAGAACTCTGTTGTGAATTCTGTCTATCGTGGCTGCCCTCCATTGTATGTATTTCATTAACTGATATGTTTAGCTCCAAGATCTGAGTGGTTCTCTCTGAGCGCTTGTTTCTTTTGGCTAATATGTCACCCATGTGCTCAAACTGTTTTTCTCATTTCCTTGGAGTTGTTTTGTTTTGTTTGAGACAGGATCTCCCTGTAGCCCCAGCTGGCCTGGAACTTGCTGCATAGACCAGGCTGGTCTCAGTCGCAGAGATCTGCCTGCCTCTGCCTCCCGAGTGCTGGGATTAAAGATGCTGGGTTCGTTCCTTGTACTTTTTCATCTAGATTCTCTCGTTTCCTTAGGATTATTATTTTGAATTGTTTTTCAAGTACTTCATACATTATGAATTATTCCTTCTTTTGGAGTTATCCTAATTCCATCTTCCTGGTCTTTATATGAATATCTGTGCATCTGGTGTAATGTTTATCATTGTATGAAGTGTTTAAGAAAATATTTTTCCTTTAGATGGCATACTGGATCTCAGTTAGGTAGGGGTTGTGTTTGCTCATAGGAACCAAAAGGTATAGACTATAAGACGACACGATTATCTTCCAGTGTCCATGTGTCAATGAGTGCTTCACTGGTTTAGGCTTCCATGGTTCATGAAGGCAGTTGGACGATGCTACAGTGTCCTCAGGCTCCACAGCCTGGCACTGTGGCTTGTGGAAAGGACTGTCCAAAGGTACCTCAAAGCAAGTACAGGTGACACTAAGAGTTGTGACGTAGCAGCCACTGTCTGCTTACCACACAATGTGAAGGGAGACCCTCCTCAGGCCCCTCACAAGGAATGTGGAAAGTGTCTGGGCCTGTAGCACCAGCAGCTAGAGTTCTGGAGCCCCCAGACAGGATGGGCCTTCCTCAGGGAGACAATACCCATTCTGAGGAAATTCCACTTACCAGTGTTTACATAGTTAATATTTTCACTCCTGTTTTCTTTTTAGAAAGTCACTTATGAAACTGACTTAACACATGGATGTGCTTTTACCTATAAGATTTCTAAGTGCAATTCATTTTTCTGAGAAATTTACTTTATTCTTAAAGATCTCCAACATTTGTAGCAAATTGTCCTTATCTTAGGTCCAAGACTATGATAAGTAATTTCAAAATATCTATTCCACTTGATCTGGTACTAGGATGGCCACTAAGGCCTTTAACAGTAGATGTTGACTTTGGGAGTATTCAGACTTATAAATCGGTAAATTTATCACAATTGTGCTAAGCGCGGGTATCTTCTTCCTCTGGCAGAGAACACCACGGGAGTGCTATGCAGCCTTCTGTCAAGGATAACAGTGGCAGCCACGGCTCACCCATCAGTGGTAAACTGGAGGGCATCTTCTTCAGCTGCAGCACCGAATTCAACACTGGGAAGCCACCCCAGGATTCACCTTATGGAAGATACAGGTTTGAGATTGCAGCAGAAAAACTCTTCAACCCCAATACTAACTTATACTTTGGGGACTTCTACTGTATGTACACTGCTTATCATTATGTGATTCTTGTCCTTGCCCCTGAGGGCTCACCAGGAGATGAATTTTGTAAGCAGCGCCTTCCTCAGCTCAATTCCAAGGATAACAAGTTTCTGACCTGTACAGAAGAAGATGGGGTGCTGGTGTACCACCATGCCCAGGATGTCATTTTAGAAGTCATTTACACTGACCCCGTGGATCTTTCTCTGGGCACCGTGGCAGAAATCACTGGTCATCAGCTCATGAGTTTGTCTACTGCAAATGCAAAGAAAGATCCCAGCTGCAAAACCTGTAACATCAGTGTTGGACGCTAGCGCCCACTCTTCCTGTCCTCCTGCCCTGTCCCCCTAGGAACACGGCCCCCGTTGTTCACTTTCATCATTGGGTGTTGTCCACTGAAGCATGCACATGCCGCTGCCACCAAAAGCAAGCTCCACTGTTGAAATTTCATCCAGACCTTGTCAGTGTTTCCTACCCCACCCTTTACTCTCAGTGATGAAATGTCCTAGGTTGTCTTTCTGACACTTTATTTGCCTAGATGCTGCAATGGTTTTTTTTTTTTTCCTTTATGCAAAACTTAACAAGACAGTTATATAGACTGCTTTAGCAAAGTACAAAATAATGGCTTATAATGGTGTTTAAATATGCATCCATTTTAATCTACTGAACAAATATTGGGATAACTCCAAACCGCATGAAAGGGTGTAATTGCAGCATGAGTTAAACTTAAAGCCTAGAATTGTCAGCACTTCCAACTTGTTGTTTGACAGTGTTATTTATGTTATTTATATTAGCTAACAGGAAACAACTACTGTGTTTCAACATAATAAATATAATAGAAAAATATTTTATTTGTATGTTGTATAAAATATTTACAGTTATATAGAATATATAGTTACATTTTAATAGCAATTGTATACATCTCACGAAACCATTTCCCTTATCAAAGATGTAATTTGTAAACCTCAAATGGTTGTGTATCTATCCTGTTACAAGTAGATGACTTCAATTAGACGGTTATAAAGGACAGTATTCTGATCCATAAAAGGTATAAAACACCAGGTGAGTACAGGGAGAACAGCTTCTGAAGGCATCCACTTGGCAGCTGGCACTCCTGCCGCCCACGCATGTGGAAGCCTGCTTCGCCTCAGCATCACCCTGAACAGTACAGGAAGGGAGACAGAAACAGGACTGGGTATGAAGGAACATCTGCCTGTCATCTGGTTTTATGAAAAGCAAAACCAATAAATGTATCTTAAACATATGGAGTAACACTAAACAAGATACACTAAAGTTGGTAAAGCAGATGAAAGATCTGACTTCTTTTCCAGTGTGTCTTGGCAAAACACTCCCAAGCCTTTCACTTTGTGCAGAATGAATACAGCTCATGAGGTTTTCACTTTACAAAGTATAGACCTTGGAACATTAAGAAAAATGCATACTCCCAATGGAAAAATAGTTGTACAATCTTAGAGCAAACAAAGTTAGCAATAACACTATGGTCACATTAGTTATTATACTACAGACACATCTATCCAAAATACCTATTTTAAAATTTCAATATTTTATTTTTAGTATAAACATCTGTCAGTTATAGACAAAGATAATTCACAAAGTACATGCTATCCAAGTGAACTTTGGTAACCAGAAATGTAAAATCTCAAATAACATAAAATAATGTACTATTTTTTATATTGAAATAAAAAATTAGGAGTGACACATTCTAGTATACTTTAGGGTACTGAACACCTAAAGACTTAAAGGGAAAGGTAGTAGATGTTGTATCACTTAAAAACCAATTTGAAGTTTCAAATAAATTACTTTCTTACTAGCTGTTTTTCTTCCTATATAAAGAGCAGAATTTTTCCTTTTCTCACCAATTTATTTAAATTGTGCTCTTTTCCACACACCAACAAAAAAAAAACATCTTTGGACACTAAATAAACTTTCCCTAACAGGTGGCTGAGCTAGTGCTGTTTAGGTCTGACAAAATATTAGCTGTCTTTTTGCAACAATTACAGTGACTGTGGGTTTTCACCTTGGCATAGAGGAGGCTGGGATATATTCTGGCCAACTACAAGGTTACTGTTATCTTTCCCCATCTAAATTCCTTCTTGTATGTAATTAACTCTTCCCTCTTAAAAACAGCTGATTCTGCCACTAAAGTGCTTCCTTCTTCAGTACATTAAAACTACTTGGCAGGAACAGTGGAGGGGACACACTTGACTCTGCCTTGGGCAGAGGTGACTGTGAGCTGAGCCTAGATGGTTTTGGCCACGTCCTGCTTGCTGATGAGGACCTCCAGCAGTCTCAGCTTGGCCTTCACGTGCTTGTATTCACAGTACTCGTCGGCCATCGGCATCCTGTCTTCCTTCTGTGGACTTCTGCAGAAAGAAAATTCAATCTAGTAGGGATGAGTCGGACCCTTACATACCCTTCTGGAACACGGGGCTGCAGCTTCCGCTCAGCTCTGCCTTGTGCCTTTGCCTCCCCTTCACCCTCATTCACACACTCCTCATGGTCTCTGAGACTTGGAAAATAGGTGATCCTGTGCTCAGACATACAATAAAGGTGCACGGGAAAGGATGTGAGGAAAAAGGAAGGTTGGAGCTGCAGGCCTCGCGTTCGCTCCTCTCCAGTGCCACCGTCCCATGGCGGTGCTGAACGGTCAGCCTGTACAGTGAAAACTGTTAAAGGCAGCAACCCGAGGATTCTACAGAATCCTGATTGCACAAATAATTCATAAATTCATGGTGACAAGGAGAACTGGCCTAACAAGCATGAAACATCTCTAGGTTTTGTTTAGTTATAATCCCTGCTTCTGTTAATGTGCAGTGGGATCACTGAGCTTTCTCCTTGACTGATATAATTCATGAGTCTAGATAGTCTAAACTGGAGCCAGTGAGATGACTTAACAGATAAAGGCACTTGCCACCAAGCCTGATGACTTGAGTTTGATCCCTGGGAACCGCATGGTTGGAAGGAAAGAACCTACTCCCCAAAGCTATCTTCTGACCTCCACAAGCACAAAATAAAAACGTAATAAAACCTTTTCAAAATGAATAAATTGTCCAATTGCACTAGCTTTCTTCTACACACTGATTCTGAGAGTGAACACAGACCAATGTGTAGACCATATGCAGTCTGATTACCGTGTGCTCTTATTCTGTTACAAGGACATTTACAGTGTCCTAAACTGTCTTTAGGAGCCAATTTCATGGTTATTTTACCTTACAGATGGTAAACTGTAGCAATAAGTCCTAGGGAAACAAGATTACAGTCTATTGTTAGCTATTCCGCGGTTTGATTTTAGCTTCAATAAATCACCATTTTCTCATTTAGATGAAATGCATCACCACTAGAGGGCATGTACCCTCTACAGAGCAAATACAGGCCCATCTTGAGTGGGTTTAGGGGTTGCAGGCACAGCAGAATAAGCTATTCCTTGACTGAAGTCAGTACTGAAGTCATTCACGAGTAACTTGCAGCAGTGTTCTCCCACTGATGCTTACACCGATGCACAGATTGCTGTACATGTACAGTCTATTACCAACAACAGCCAGAACAAAAAGCATTGTGTTGTCAAAAGGCATGCCAAGTAATATTGCTGGATCCACTAGGCAGGGCTAGCAGCCCACTGGAGCCTCTCGGACTTTAAGACAGACTCCTGAGTTCAAACAGGTAAAAACGCACATTTCTACAGAGAACTCAAAGTTATCAGAACACTGTATGCATGTCTTAAAAGTGAGGGGGCTGGAGAGATGGCTCAGCAGTTAAGGGCACTGGCTGCTCTTGCAGCAGGACCTGCTCTTGCAGAGGACCTGGTGCAATTCCCAGCACCCATATGGCAGCTAACAACCATCCATAACTCTAGTTTCAGGGGATCCAACATCCTCTTCAGACCTCCGTGGGCATTACACAACACAGGTGGATGCAGTAACTCATACGCTTAAAACAGAAGTAACAAAATACTTTTTTAAAAGTTTTAAGTGTTTTAAAAAATGATTAACTAATTTCTCATGCAATGGCTGTTTAGATTTAAAATACTGAAAACATGTCCCTGAATAGTTCACTGAAGAATTCCACTGAATGATTTTAACTTAAGGACTTCAATGTGAGTCACATGTATACCTGAAGCACAATGCAGCCCAATTCAGAGGCACTATTATAAATATTTTTCAGGAAAAATTAATGAATATTCTAAAAAAGAAAAAAGTGTGGGTAAAAGAGAAACACCGAAATGTAGCATTTCACACAAGTTAGTACTGACATAAAGGTAGCTGGGACTTCAGCCATCAACTGGAAAGGAAGACTGCATGAGGAAAGCGAAATGGATCAAGACTGTTATTGCCAAATCCAAAAAAGTCTCATTTAAAAAGTCCATTCCTAATTAGCAGCCCTAGAAAAGTGAACTAGAAAAGCCTCCAAGGACTGAGAGGTGAGTAGATTAAGTTCGAATGTTTCAAGGCACTTTTAGTAAACAGACCCTCTCCCTCACAGCAGCCCTTGGGCTGAGATGGAATAAGAATCCCATCTCTGCCACTCAGTAACTCTCTGACTTTGGGTAAGTTATGCCCTTGCAGGCGTGGCCAACCTTCTGACATTGCCACACAGTATTATCACCTATGAAGTTCATGCTGGAAAGCCACACAATTGAGTTTTTAAAAAGCATAAAAAATAAAAACCCCTCCATTTTTAAATAGGCTTGTAAGTGTATGCTGAACCACATTCATACCTGTCCTTGTACAAATGTGGGCTACAGTCCGCAGGCTGGGCAAACCCGTGCGGTTTTTTTTTTCTTTTAAGACGAATGTCCCATGTCACAGAACTAGCTTCCCAAATCATCCCAGGAGTCAAACCATTTCAACTTATAAAGGTGTAAACAGAGATTCGGGGTGGCTAAGTGATTTGTCTTCTAGAAAGACACCTTCATCACCTGATTACTTACAGACTCTTGGTGATATTAAAAATTACAGGATATTAGTGAATGTGTAACAGCTCCGTTGAGACGGAAATAGATGAAGATACACGGTGCAACTAAACATTTAAGGGAGACAAAAATAGCTGTGAACTCTTGACCAAACCCTGGAATAAAGCAAATAGGGATAGATGCTAGTTTTCAGGGAAGATAAAAGCATTTATATGAACAGGTAGGGAATAGCTTATGGAACTAAGAACAGTGATGTTATATGAGGTGAAAAATCAGATTTTTAAGAAGCCATTGGGATGAATGTCCACCCTTCATTTCTCAAAGACTGGCGTAACCCTTGACAGCTACAGTCTCCTGTTAAGATAGTCCTAATGACTGTACTATCAGAATGTTGCATTGGACAGTTCCTAAGTCCCAACCAGGATTCCTGCAAATATATTACAGTCCATTCAGAACAATAGTTCTCTAGGAAGTATTAGCATAAAAGCCCTCTCGGCTCACACTTACCTTCCTGTTTGTTTAAAAAACTGTTCTTCAAATTCCCGTAGGGCTTTCCTCAGCCTCTTCTTGTCGGCCCTAGTTTCTCGGAGATGGTCAAGAAGCACAGGCCTGTATTAGGTAAAATGTATTTATTACTGAGCACTGGCATAACGGGAGGTCATGAGTGCATTTAGATCAGCAGAGGCACATTATGATGAAAAGGTGCTCATAAAAGAATCCTCTAAGTGAGGCAGGCACAGAGCCTCATTGTAGGAGCAGCACGTCAGCACAGGGGTCATAACAGTGTCATGGGGCAGGAGAAAGGGCAGACATGAGTCCAGTGGACTGAGCTGGCTGTAAGAAATGCTGATGGTGACAGTGATGCAAGGAGGCGAGGGGAGGGAGCGGGCACTGAAGGAGTACACAGACGGCAGAGTGAAGGCCAGAGACACGGGAGGAAAGAACATTCTGTCCTGAGTGTGAGGAACACAAAACCCCTGGGAATGAACCTGACCCAGGGGAGGGCCGAAGGTCCTCTGCAAAGTCTACTCACTTTATCGAGAGCCGTCTATGCTTTCAGAGGCTCAACTCTGACGTTACATGTAAGCATTTTCTGTAAGACAAGTCTGTTGGCTTCCAAAAAGCCACCCCGCCCCAAATTTAGGAATAACTTCTTTAGAACTACCTCCCAAAAAGGGGAGGGAGAGACGGAAGGAAAAGTTGTTTCCTACTTCCTCAGTAGAGTAAAAACCTCTTAAAATCCTTGTTTCCGCCTCATTTCCATTTGGGGCATACGCAGACCATATAATTTATGTTAAAAATGACCTTCAATGTGGGCTGTAAAATACAAACCAAAAAGCCAGATGATCAACAGGAATGCCAGCTACTGAATAATGATAATATCAATGAAAATCCAAATCGCTCTTAACTGAGACCTTAGGAGACTGCGCACTCATTAACTGGTGGCCAAGGTGAACCCCCTCTGGAGAAACTGTTCCTAAATGTGACGGACTGAGGCGAGAAGACAGAGACTCTGACCACTGCTGACCCACTCGGGATCCTACTCCTTTGGGTCCAGCATTTCAAGGACCAGCTCTGCTTTGCCCACTTCCAAGGATTAGATTAGTGCCAGAACCCAGCTGAGAAGTGAGGTTAACGTAAATCGAACTATGGCACCTTCCAGACTTCACTGAGTGCTGTGACTCTCCAGAGCCTTGTTTTCTAGATATTCCAACGAGCACTTCTTAGAATCGTAACAGATCTGGAGTTTTTTTCTGTATACTTAGAGAACCCAGGCCCGAAGGAGTTACAGGAGTCCACTGGGGCTGTTCACTCACACGGTGGCTTCATGTAAATTGGACATGGAGACAGCGGGTTGTTTGGCTTCTTTCTTTCCCTCTGGTAGCAGGGCCCTCACAGGCTCCGTCTCAGAGTAGGCAAGGTGATCACCAACAGGAAGGCGAGATGCTGGATCTGGCAAGGAAGACTGTTGGCTTCTCTGTGGACAGTCTTCATCAGAGTCCTCTTCCTCCTGCTTGTCACAAGCAGAGGCAAAGAAAGTCACAAAGTGCTGTTCCTCGTGCGGATTCAGGAAGAGAACCACAGAAACAGGCAACCCAGTGGATGACCCGTGTGCCTCCTGAGCCGGGGTAGAAACCACCAAGAACCTTTGCTTGGTTTCAGCAAAAGCCTGCAGAAGTCAATGCGCAGAGGTACCATGCTGGCCACAATGCTCACTTGTATTTACTGAGCCAAGGAAGGCACAGACGTTTGGAATATGGCCCAGGTTGAACCGCACCGCCAAGGGTCCTCCCTTCCCCTGAGAACCTGCACGACAGCTTCACACTAGTCATTTGGGAAAGGATAAGATGGACTATAGACACCTTATCATTCAGAAATCATCCCAGCTGGATCCCAGAGCAGGCCAATCAATCCAGGCAATACCAGTTTAGTGACAAGTTTGAAGAGTTCTTTGCAGGCCGAAGCATAGCATGGTCACTCCTTAACCTGTTCTAGTAACTATCAACCAAAATATTTTCCTGAAATCTGAAAGTCACACTCCCTCTTTAAATCCTGCTTCCTCAAAAAGAACATTTTAGGCTACAAATATAATTTTCTTAAAAATATAGAAATATGGGGCTGGAGAGATGGCTCAGCAGTTAAGAACACTGACTGTTCTTGCAGAAGACCCGGGTTCGAATCCCAGCACCCACATGGCAGCTAACAATGTCCGTAACTCCAGTTCCAGGGGATACGACAACCTCTTCTGTCCTCCGCGGGCATTGCACGACACGGGTGCCCTTACCTACATGTAGGCAATACGCTCATACACATAAAATAAAAATAATAAATATTAAAAATATAGAAATATAAATGTACTCAGATAAATTCATATTTGTTTAACATTTATTGCTTTGATATCTTGAGTGAATAGCTGCTTTGAAATTGATGGAGTAGGATTTGTGGTGTTTTTCAAGTTCTACATTCAAAGGTTATTAAAAGTAACCTAACTCAATTTCAATACTAATTTTCTATTGAAATAAATCTACTTATATCTTGTACAGTGTGACAGGATGGCACTGAAGCAATGTTTACGTCAAGGACGGCATTGTCAATTTTGTTAACCAATACATAAAGAATAGAAAGCTTCTGTTTTTGTCTAGCTGTGCTGTAAACTAGACAGTGCCAAAGTGAAACCCGCCGTTTCTTTCCCTCCCTTAGAAGGGGGGTGAGGAAGTGGAGCACGTGCTAGGACTGCCTTCAAGCATGCCAGGCCCGCCTATCCTGTTCTAAGCAGTTCCATTACCCACCACTGCTAAGCATGGGCCGGGGAAGCCCACACTTCCACTTTACGAAAAAGGAGCTGGTGGGGTTAGCGGTCCATACAGCCAGGAAGGCCACTCGGGAACGTCCCCCATGCATACTACAACACAGTGCTGAACAGCATCTATGTAGGGTGCCAGCCAAGGTTTGCATCAGCCCGGCCATCTTTACTTACGATGGTCGGAATAAGGGACGGTGCTGACAAGATCTGCTTGATGATTCTGTACCGGTCATAGAGAGGCTTTATGAGGTTCTTATCCTGCTTAGTTACCTGGAAAACATGAAACGAATTTTTATTCCTTTCTCAGACAACAGCCCCCACTCCCCCACCCCCACCCACTGTGCTGCTGAGGATTAAACCCAGAACCTGTACGTACCAGTCCAGCCTTCAGCCCCATCCCCTAAGGCAATATTCTTAGCAGACAAAAACAATGTTTTAGAGCCTTAAAGGATCATAATACTGTAATGCATCAGTATTAGATAAAGAGAAATCATAAGACACTGTGTGTTGTATGTCCCATTTTTCTTTCTAGGAACAGTTCCTTGAAGAATAGGCTTGAGTCAGGAAAGATAGGCTTTAAGGCTTTGTAGAGGAGTGTAAAAAGCATGTTGTTAGGCCTCTTTAAAAGATGAGTCATCAAGACACATTGCTTTTTCTCTGTACATCTATTTTATTTGGACTTTTGTGATTACATTCATAAACTCCAACCATGTTCAGGACTTCGCTGTTACGTGCATGGAATGTATACTACCTTACTGGTTAGCTCTCATGTAAATTAAGTTATCTGGGATAAACATTTACCTTTTGAACTCTCAGTTTCTAACATTTACCTTTTGAACCCTCAGTTTCCTACCCATACAACAAAGAGGTTAGAGTTTCAGATTCCTTCTAGGCTCTTCCAAAGATAGACAGGTATTTCAATTGACTCACCAAAGTTCCAACTAAAACAGTTCCCTAACCTGGGTATGCTAAGGCATTCTGTGCCCCATGACAACTAAGCATCCCGTGCCCATGACAACTAAGCATCCCATGCCCATGACAACTAAGCATCCCGTGCCCATGACAACTAAGCATCCCGTGCCCATGCCAACTAGGCATCCCGTGCCCATGACAACTAGTGCATCCCATGCCCATGACCACTAGTGCGTCCTGTGCCCATGACAACTAAGCATCCCGTGCCCATGACAACTAGTGCATCTTGCTGCATGACCTAACCCCGCACACTGTTAGGAGGGCACACACACAGTGTATAAAAAGTTAAGTAGGTATCTGTCTTGCCTGCTTACCCACATCTTTCCAATGTGGCCAAACTGTCCCCCTCATAGCTGCACTGTGTTCCAAGCATTAACCTGCTATGTACCCACTGCACATAGCTTCTCTTCATTCTCAGCCAATGGTTTGTACTCAACAAGGCCAGGGTGTGGGAAGTATGGTGACAACAGCTCATCACAGTCAGTCACCCAGGTGTCCTTTACGGAAGTGCACACATCCAAGAATGGTAACTGGCTCTGCCTTCCAGCTCCTCCAGAGACTCAGGGGGAGAGAAAACGGTTCGTTCATGTGTGAGGCTGCCCGTTTTCACTCATGACACTCCACACCACCCAGATGCCAGCCACGCTGGTCCATGTTCCCTCTGAAGGGCTCTGTTTCACTGTCTAGACCTGTTCTGTTTTAGGCTTGCCTGCCCAAATAGACTAAAATTTTATTGAGGACTGAGATGATACCACACATCTCTTCGCATGCACAATACCTACCACAGCCCTGTATCTACTACCAACTAGTATAGGTTTAAAAAAACACGTTTTCAGCAATCTTCATATATATGTGTGAATGTACACACACACACACACACACACACACACACACACACACACACACACACAGCTATAATCTCTCACACTCTGTGTCTTTATTTTTGTACATAGAACTTTTTTGTGTGTGAGGTTGTATAGTGT